TGGCGCGCGCACAATACCTTGTTTTTCCCCAACCCGAGAGTCATTTCATCATTTGGTTCGACGGAGCGCGCAAGAGTTATACCGGTGCGCGTGTACGAACCTTTTCGGCCACGAATCTTTAGTTTCCTTTTGCGATTCAAACACTTTTGGAAATCAAATTGGACGCGTTTTTAACCTATGTTCTGGCTCTTATAAATAGAGAATGAGAGCTACACATAGAAAAACATCTCTTCCCTCTTCATAAAATACTATCATCAAATTCATCAAAAACAAGAGGCTAATTGTTATATTTTGAAAGAAAAAGTCAAACTCTAGTAAGGAATTGAATGTCAATTACATCAAAATTTTGAAGAATTCAACCTTAGGCTTGAAGATCAACTTTTTTTTATTATTTCATGATTCAGATAATATTTTTCTATTATTCTTTTTGTAATTTATAAATTAAAATGCTAGGCTAGATTCCTTTTTATATTAGATGAATATGAACCATATTTGTTATTTGTTTTGATTCAATACTAGAATTTTAATTTATTTCTTACATTTCTTGATTAATTTTGCATACCCATTGTATTATTTAATTGAATGACCACGATTAGATAATTAGTTGCTTATTGTAGTGTTGGGAGACGCTCAATAAGTTTAGAACACATCAAAATTAACATATGTGCAATAGATGTTAGGAATAACATTTATCATATGTACAATCATATAGATAATATAAACTTTTAATGCATTCTAGTCATTCGAATTCGGGCTAGGAATAGATTCAGATCATGGTTAGAATATGTTTAATTTATTTTGGAAAAGAGAATTAATTACAATAAAATTGTCAATTGTCAAGAACGAATGAACAAGACTAGATTACGAATCAATAATTAAAATAGATAGCAATAGGCGGATTCGAGATCCAATACAATAATCCATAAAATTGATAAAAATCACATTTTACAGTTTTCTTAGATTAATTAAATATGAAATAAAGTCAAATTCTCTTTTGTTTACATAATTCGAATCTTGTAAAAAGTTAGTAAACTTGAATTGAATTTATTCCATGTGAAACGATACTCTTAGCTCATTAATTCTATTCCTAGCCAACAATCTCGTACGCTTGCGAATTTTGCACGAGCACAATACACCCATTTTAGGTCATTTTAAATTTTAGAAGAATCTCATAGCTCTTAATAAAGAACTCGAAAATCCACTGGCAATTCATGCATAAATTATTGAATATAAAAGAATAAGGAAACTAACTAGTTCCACAAAAGTATATTACCTTGATTTTGAAAAGTTGAAAAGAATAAAATCTTGCACGTAAAAGTTTTCATATTATTTTTCTATACTTTTTCCTTTCATTCTTTCTCTACCGTGCCTCTCTTTATTTTCTGTGGTAAAATAATGAGAATTTCTATAGTATTTATAGTTGAAATTTTCAATTCAGTTTATATGCAACTAGAATTGAAAAACGGTGTAATATAAGAAATTTGGATAAGAACTAATTCAAATAATAAAATTATGATTACTATTAAACTTTATCAAATCACAAAAAGATTATCATTATCAAAATCAACATTTATCATCCCACACCCGTGGCCACCATAAAAATTTAAATCATGAACCAAGTTTAATTAATTACCGATCATAAAATTAAAATTTTCATTTTAAAATAGTACATGTGGCAAACATGGATTTGGTTTTTTAAAAAAAAAAATGATATTTGAATTGTGCTATACTATTGTTTTCATATCAAATAAAAATCACGTATGGTAAGAATTAAAAGATAGGAAAATAATTTTACTCAATTAATATTGTAATCCCACTAACTTTATTAACCTATTATTCTTAACCGGGCTTAACTTAATGTAGTCTAATCCAAAATAACTTGTTCTCATGTTGAAAACTTTTAATTAATTATGAGTTACAAAAAGATTCCAATATCGATACACTTATTTTTTCTCTATCAAAATCTAATTATTTGGTCAAAATAAAAAGAATTTAAAACATATTTTACTTTAATCTTTCAACTTTTCAATATATTAATATATAGTATATAAAACAAATAAATAAATTTTATTTCATAATTTTTTAGAGGCGTTACAATCTCTCCTTCTTAAAAGAATTTTGCTCTCGAAATTACTTCAGCTAGTTGAAAAGTCTTGGATACTTGACTTCGACATATTTATAATAGTACATAACATGTAGCAATAAACTCATAATCATGCTAAAAGAATGATATTTCATTCCATACATTTGATCTATTAGAGAGTGGTCAAACAGTGACCATTGCGCACCAAATTTTTTTCATATCATTACATGTTTGAAAACTTTGCAAAATTATCATTTAACTCATAAATCTCATAAAAAAAATTTATTTATTATACATATCTTCTTTTTCCTTTTTTATACATCACTCAAAAATTAGAGTTAAACACGTAAATATATATGTCTAAAACATGAAAAAAAATATAATAACAATTTAAACTTAAACTATCATTTATTCAAAATCCATCAAAAATATTATTATTTAAAATCAAGTTGAAATCAATTTAAAACAAACATTAACCTCGAAAAAAATTAAAAATTAAATCATTTTGTAATTTGTGTCAGTGTTCATGTGAATAGTGTCTTGCATTTGTTCGGCACTGTTCACTTGAACGGTTTTTTTTTTTTTAATCTACAAGGCAGTAAGCATTTACTCTGATACCAAACCATAACACTCCAAAATTTCATAAATACTATAGTGTTACCAAAAAATTGAGTTTTCTTTACGTTAAAAGCGAAAACGATACAAATCAAAATATAACTTTATTTTCAACAATAAATATCAAATAAAATATGGAATCTGAATTTTTGAAATATATAAATATATATAATAGACATGTCTTTGAACAAATAACCAATCGAATAAACTAGGAGATTAAAAAAATTTAGTGTTTTTATTTTTTCAATTCCTCTTAGCAGTCCGCATCACCATCCCACCAAAGTTCAAATCAACCCGAATGAACCTATAAAATTTTGTAAGAGCGAGTATTTAAAAATACCTGTAAGATACGTGCGATTTCCATACATTATTATATGACAATAAAATAAACACTTCATACCAATCCTCTCTTATAGAGTATATTGGTGACCAAACGTTACACCGATCTTAGATCATCTCATATTCCATAAGGATCTCATATCTCTTAATAAAGAACTCGAAGGTCTATTGACAATTTATGAATAAATCACTGAATATAAAAGTATAAGGAAACGAACCACTTGCACAAAAGGATTTTACCTTGATTTTGAAAGGTTCCCTCTCTCTACCGTGGCTCTCTTTCTTTTCTGTGGTGAAATAATGAGAATTCCTACAACGGTTATAGTTGAAATTTTCAATTAAGTTTGTATGCAACTAGAATTGAAAAACTGTGTAATATAAGGAATTTGGATAAGAATTGATTTCAAATAATAGAATTATGATTACTATTAAACTTTATCAAATCACAAAAAAATTATCAATATCAAAATCAACATTTATCATCTCACACGTAGCTACCATAAAAATTTAAATCATAAACCAAGTTTAATTAATTATCAATCATATAATTAAATTTTTCATTTTAAAATAGGAAACGTGGCCAATATGGATTTGGTTTTAAAAAAAATGACATTTGAATTGTACTACATATTTTTTTCATGTCAAATAAAAATCAAGCGTGGTAGGAATTAAAAGAGGAAAAGAATTTTACTCAATTAATATTGCAAGCTCCCACCAACTCTATTAACCTATTATTCTTTTAATCGGACTTAACTTGATGTAGTTTAATTGAAAATAATTTTTTCTCGTGTTCAAGACTTTTAATTAATTACGAGTTACAAAAAGATTACAATATCGATACACTTATTTTTTATCTATCAAAATCTAATTATCTAGTCAAAATAAAAAGAATTTAAATCACACTGCACTTTAATCCTTCAAATTTTCAATATATTAATATATAGCATATAGAACAAATAATTTTTATTTTATAAAATTTTCTGGACGTTACAACTTCTTACCGTATAATGTATACATACCGTTGGTGTGACTTTAATCCATTCGAGGAATTAATGGAGATATGTTTTCGCTTACTTTATTCATCACAAGTGTTTAAATGGAGGGAGAACGCTTAATTTTAGAGTAGAATAGAGTGATTTTTATATACCTGATTTATGCAAAGTTTCTCAAATTTGATATTTGTGGAAACGTAATCTTAAATTTGGGTAGTTATTTTTTTCATTAATCTATATATTCAACAAAGTGAGTAGCGGGCCTAAATTGATTTCTTGTTGGGCAAATTAGGCCCAGTGTCCTAAAAAATTAATCAATTTGATTCACACTCTTCTAATTAATTAAATCCTTTAAAAACTTAATTAATACATTATAAAATATGATTTCTTCCCGGCTCTCTATCACTCTAATATTTCTCTATTGCTTCATCTTTACCTCAACCGCCACAGCCTTCAACATCACCAGGCTCCTCGGACGATACCCGAAATTCAGCAACTCTAACAATCTTTTGACCAAAAATGCTCCCTCCACTGACATCAACAAATGGAAAACCATCACCATCCTGGTGGTGTCTAATGACGTACTTAGCGATCTTATGGGGTAGAAGAGGAGGTCCCGAAGGGTGTTCTGAGCAACCATGTGGTGTTGGATAATTATGATACCTTAAAACTTCAGAAATTGAAAAACAAATTTGTCCTTGAGGGTCGAGTCAAGAAAAAAGGCAATCCTACCCTTTCCTTTCCAGTCAGATTCCCAAATTTCATTTGTTTTTGGGAAAATGGAAAATCTAGTTCGGTGAGGAGTGAATTGGATGATTTTCTGGCCATATTCAAGCTTGGGTTTGACTAGGTTGATCCCAAATATCGTGGCGATGCTTAATGGTGTATGTAAAGATGGGTTGGTGCAAGAGGCAATGAAGCTTTTTGGTTTAATGCGTGAAAAGAGTACTATTTCAAAAGTGGTTGTCTACACTACTGTAGTGGAAGGCTTTTTCAAGGCATGGAAGCTTGAAGATGCGGTGAGAATTTTTAAGAAAATGCAGAGTAATGGGATCATTCCAAATGCATTTAGTTATGAGGTTTTGACTCAGGGGCTATGTAAAGGGAAGATTGAAGAGGTTGGAGGACGCCTATAAGCTTTGCATTAAGATGTTGGAATAATGTCACTTTTTATTAAAAGGTGTCCCTTTTCTAATTGCCTTCTAAACAAATTTTCATTATATATTGCTGCATTCTCAGCAGTTGCTCTGTTTTCATCATGTTCATCTTTTTATGGCCAACCCATTTCTGATACCATAACTTCTATCCCTTCATACCCCATTTTAGACATGGCAAATATTACATCATCTGCTTGTGCATATAACATGTTGTCATAATGTAACTTTTTGTTAGGGTCAATCATTCTTGAATTAAGGGTGTGTTTGTCCCCTATTATTGGGAGAAAAATAGAGCAATGGATATTATTTTTTGGAGAATGTGTGGTTGAAAAGTAAAGTAACTTTATTGATTTGTGTAGAATATTTTATTGGGTGAATGTGTAGTGGAGAATCTTACTGTAACAAACATTTTTTTTTTGGAATAATAATAGACAAACAGGGGCTAAGGTTGAAAAGCACTTTATCTGAAGAAACCCTATTGTGATCATCTTTGTAAGCAAAATAAAGGTATGCATTGTTTATTTTCTATCCCTTTTCTATTGTTTGTTACCTTTTTGAACTTCTGTCACTTTTTTCAATAACAAATATCATTTTTTATTAAAAGTGACATACAATGACACTTAACTTTAAAAAGCTTGTATAATAAAAAAGTGATATTTTAAGGTTTTTATCGGTGTTTTGTTACTTTTTTTTTTTAATGTTTGTCACTTTTTTGAAATTTCTATCATTTGTTTATTGTATGTTACTTCTTTTTAAAATTTATGTCAGTTTTTTAGTGACAAATATAGGTTCTGATTGTTGTTTGATCAATTTTTGAGTTTGTTACTTATTTGAATTTTTGTTACATTTTTTAGTGCTAGTCAATTTTTTTTTTATTTTCTGTCATTTTTTTTAAATTTCTGTCACTTTTCACTTCTTTTGAATTTTGTCATTTTTTATTGTTCCTCATTATTTTATTTTTTGTCACTTTCTTTGAATTTTTCACTTTTTTTAAATTTACTTTGCTTTTTTGAATTCTTGTCTTGTCACTTTTTTTTTTGGAATTTTCATCGCTATTTTTTTTAGTGTGTGTCACTTTCTTGAAATTTCTATAACTTTTTTGATTGACAAACATTACTTTTTAATAAAAGTGACATTGTATGTTATTTTGTCACTTTTTATATTTCTATCACTTTTTTAGTGACAAACATCATTTTTTAATAAAAGTGACATTATATATATTATTTTGTCACTTTTTAAAGTTAAGTGTCATTTTTTTAATTTACACTGTATTCTTTAAATCAAAAATACTTTTTATATAATTTCTCAGACCTCTAATTTTAAGGATATTTTTATAAGATATCCTTTCTGGTTTGGGCACATGATCTCTTCTTAAAAGCCCAAATACAGAAACTAAACTTGGAAAGTCACTTTTATCCGAACACCGTTTGTTCAAGGATAGCACTGCTGCTCATCCTACAACGCGCGCGCGCACACACTGTTTACACACAATCTCACCGAACTCAATTCTTCCTTCCATATCCAATACTGGTACGTATTAGNTTTAAATGTGTTAAAATTTCGAGTATGCTGGAAGCTCTGTTAAATTCTCTGTGTTTGTACGTACCTGTGCAAGTTCAGGATGCTGTTTGTCAGCATTTTTGCATTTCGCACAGTTGATTTCTTTTATGCTATTCCTTGATGTGGCGCAAGCAATCTATTTGTTTTGATTTTCAATCAATTAGTCGATGTATCTGTTTCTATTCGTGTTTCACAGTTAATGAATGTTCTAGGCTCCTCGAATAAAAGTGAATGAATTAATCTTCTATCGTATTGTCATATATAATTTATGTGAGAAGCCTATCATTTTAGTAGATGTTTCCTACCATGATCACTTAATGAATTTTGGACAAAGCCAATACCACCGTCATTTCAAGGTATTGTGTCCACGGATTACAATAATAAGAAAAGGCCTAGATAGTTTCCTTTTATAATAAAGAACATGTTATGAAACGAATTTGTATATACAGAAATAAGTTCTGGAACATGGTTTTATTTTTATTTTTTATTTTCCTTTTCAGAAAGCTTGGACGTGCATTTACTGATGGTTAATGTCTGAGGTACATCAGATTGCGACAGTTTGTAGCTCCATATATAGTCAGACTTTGGGAGATGGTTGTTCTCTTGTCCACCACTGAACATGCTAGTCTGTGGAACATAGAGAATCACAAGGCTACACATCTAAGTCTTGTAATATGGTTTGATGCTTGAAAAAACTATTGCTTTAATTTAAGATAAACAAGTTATAAAATTTGTGCTCCTACTTTTGCAACAAGTGTTGTATCTCACCATTTAACAGGAAAGAGACAAGGATGGTAAATTTCTTTCCACTTGTACGGCGACGCTGGAATTAACTTGAAATTCTTGTCAGTTGACAGTAATTTACTTGATATCTACCAAGTGCTAATGTCATTGATCTCCGTGTTTGCAGACACACCATGGGGGAAATCGGGTGTAATTGCTTTGTAAAGGAAGATATGTGGACATCATCTGATGTCCTGTGGAGACCTAAACTTGAATTTTTTATCCCAGCACATTCCCCTGGTAAAAGAAATATAAAATTTGTAGTGAAGGATTCATGGATTAGATCTCATATTAAAAGAAGACCTGCAGCTAAAATATTCCAGTCTTGGATGGGGAAGAATTCCCTGCAGCTTTTCATTTCCACTCCATACAGGTAGTTTTTGTCTGATGACATTCTTATCCGTTCAATTTTCCCATTAATATGTTGCTGAACACTCAAATGCTTCCAGTGGTTTGACAGATGAAGAAAACACAATGAAATGTTACAAACGTGATTCTTCAGTCTCAAAGATTTTCTCGAGTGATTCTGTCAGAAAGAGATCAGATTCTTGTGAAACTTTTTCAATAAGAGATCAAGTTATTGAGGAGCCTTGGCTATTTCAGTCGTCCCCAGTCTCTTGTCATGTTGCAGGGTTAAAAGACAAAGAGATTTTGAATTGCTCTAATGGTGATGTCCTAAAATCAAATTTCTCAAATGAATTCAGAGACGAGGATTTCTGCTCCAAGTCTGATTTTCAAGTGAATGGAATTAAGAAGAATTATGATGCTCATGATGCTTTAGTTGAGACGTATCATCCTGTTGAGGAGCCTTGGATATGGGAATCATCAGCCCATATTGCCGGCTCTAATACTAAGATGGTTTCTGATATTGCCAAGAATGTCGAAGATGAGGCCGCTCAGCCACCCCTTCATGATCAACATCAACATTTACCTGAGAAGCTGCTTGAGGAAGAAAGTAATGTTACATCAGAAGACTCTATTTCCACAGTTATATTAATCAATTCTTCCATATGTACCATGCAAAGGATTGCTATTCTGGAAAATAGTAAATTGGTTGAGTTATTGTTAGAGCCTGTGAAAAACAATGTGCAGTGTGATAGTGTATACCTAGGAGTAGTAACAAAGTTAGCCCCCCACATGGGTGGTGCATTTGTAGATATTGGCAGCTCAAGGCCGTCTTTCATGGATATAAACCCCAATCGGGAACCATTCACATTACCCCCATTTCTGAGTCATATGAATGAAAGAGAACCAAATGACTTTATTTTTGGTAAGCTTGAAGAGAATGTAGGTAATACTGAATATGAAACCATTATAGATCAAATTGAAGAAACAAATGAGATGGAGGACGGGCAAAGTGAGGATGAATTCATTGATGATGAGTTTGGAGGTCATGACGATGGTGTTGACTTTGACGTATTGGGAGTTATTAAGGAACAAGTAAATGGTAATGTTTCCAGGCATGCACCTGCGACCGAGCCTCTGAGATCCTCAGAAAAGTCAAGTGAAGCTGGGCACCAGGCACTGAATAGAAGTGGTCACCATGATATCAGCCACAAGGTTATAGGCACCGAAGAAAGCAAGTGGGCACGAGTTAAAAAAGGCACTAAAATAATTGTACAAGTTGTTAAAGAAGGATTGGGTACGAAAGGCCCTACACTGACTGCTTATCCTAAGCTTAGAAGCCGATTCTGGGTATCTAGTATTCCCTGACTTCAATTTCTGTGCTTCATGCATCTAGATTCATTTGTCTAGAAAAGCCAGTATTTTAACTCTGTGATCCTAAAAATTGCAGCTTTTGATCCCTCATTGCAATACAATAGGAATTTCAAAGAAAATCTCTGGTGTTGAGCGCACACGTTTAAGACTTATAGCAAAAACTTTGCAGCCTCCTGGATTTGGTCTTACTGTTAGGACAGTTGCTTCTGGGCATTCATTAGAGGAGTTGCAGAAGAATTTGGAACACTTGCTGTCAACATGGAAAAATATTGTAGAACATGCAAAATCTGCAACTCTTGCTGCAGATGAAGGGGTAGATGGAGCTGTTCCTGTTATGTTACATAGAGCAATGGGTCAAACACTCTCTGTCGTCCAAGATTACTTTAATGAGAAGGTTCATTACATTACGTAAATCAGTTTATTGTCATCATTCATGTATCTATGCTATTAATTTTTGTCTTGTTTACAGGTAAATAACATGGTAGTGGATTCTCCGAGGACATATCATGAGGTATGATAGCCGCCAACTACCAGAGATAGAAACTTAAAAGTTCCATTGATAGGGTTGCAACTGGGTTTCGTTTTTGCTTCTTTTTTTAATATAGTAAATGGAGGAGTAGCTTTCCCTCCCACATCAGCCAACAGAGACTCCACCTCTGGGACCAGCATGCATGCTTTCATCTTATCTACAAGGATAGTTGCAGCTTGATATCAGACCAGTTTTCACTATAAGCATGGTCTTTTCTGGTTGTGATTTAGCTTTAACCTCGTAACAATAATTAAGAGTTTTGGCTGTAGAAGTAAAATGGCAGTTAGAGCCAAGCCATTATCGAGAATTTAGTGCGTTAATTTGCCTCAGTCCTGGCCAATAGGATAATGTATCATATTTGTACTGGACAATGCATGGGAATGGATCTTTCCAAATTTTATTTCTTATTGAAGCTTATATACTTCTGATGTTGACTTCTTCTATGCTATATATGTAGGTCACCAACTATCTGCAGGAAATAGCTCCTGATCTTTGTGACAGAGTTGAGTTATACAGCAAAAGAACTCCCCTTTTCAATGAATACGGTCTTGAGGAAGAAATAAACAGCATCCTCAGTAAAAGGTGAGAAAAGCTACTGATATTTTTTGTATACATCCACATTCACAAGCTTCAAGGGATATATATAATTCCCTATTCATGTATGTTATTTCACTGCTAATAAAATTTCATTGCAATTCCGTTTGTTTTCTTGTATCCACATGGACTGTCTTGTATGATAGATGTGCTTATAAGTTCATGAATAATGCTAAACTACACTCTCTCCCTTTCTCACGCATACAAACACACACAATGATACTCCACTTTTGGTGCTGACATCACTTACTAGAAAGTGCAAAATAGAATGCTTAGTATAATATCTGCTCTAAATCTTGTATCTTTCTAGACAATTGAACCAGAATAAATGACATTTTCTATAAAATAAGTTACTTCATTCAATTTTGTAACTTCTAAAAACATTTATACTTAGAACTTGATGTGGCATGCGTAAAAGTGAAGTGATCTATTGTCACGAGGAAAACCAAGACTGTGTAGTCCCTCCTCACTCTGTTTCCCCTGTGGCCTTGAAAAGGCAATGTTAGACCTCTTTCTACAGTGGTCCCCAGGTCTTATTTTTTGCTTAATTTTTGGAAATTTCTTTTTATTAAATTATTTTATTTTCATGAGGAAGGTTGTTTACCTTTTTGTTTGGGAGCAAGTTGTTCGACAATTTAACCAGGAAAATGAAGGTAGACAAAATTCGTCCAAAAAATTATAATTGAAGAGAAAAGCACAAAGTGAAGTGTGCAAAACCTGTAATTGTTGGAGTGTAGCCTAAATCATAGAGGTTTCATATTACTTGCCTGTGTTGTTTATTTATCATTTAGTGTTAAGAAGTTTCCTTTTTTTATTCAACTTCAATGTAAATGCTTCTTTCCAACCAAACTTAAATCTTTTTTCTGTCAAATTGGTTTTAATTTATTAGTTTCAATGATTTGTCACAAAATTAATGTGAATGTTCATATGAGTGTCTCCTTTATGCAGGGTTCTGCTAGACAATGGAGGTTATCTTGTGATTGAACAAACTGAGGCACTAGTCTCTATCGATGTGAATGGTGGACATTGCATGCTCGGCCAAGGAACTTCCCAAGAGAAAGCTATTCTTGATGTCAACCTTGCAGCTGCCAATCAAGTACTGATAATTTTGCAGTATTTTATACTTTCTTTATATGTAGTTCTAGAAGAGGAGTTTGAACCATAGTAGTCCTACACATTATTAAATGTTTTCCAGTATCATACATCTTAAGCATTAAAAGCACTACACACCATTGCCACTTTGACAAAGTCATAGATAATATATGATGTACGCGTTGTGTGGTGAAATAGTGTTTTGACTAAAAAATGAGGGCATAAGTGTTTTTATACCTAGAAAAACTATAAAATGTGGTGACTTTTCTGTTATTTTTGGTGGGTCGAAGGCATCAGGTAAAAAACTGAGATCATGATCAGTTGCCAATTATGTTAACAAGGAGGAACAAATGATTTATTTTATAGGGGCATTGACCTACATAATTTTTACAACTTAGATAGATGACAATGGTTGCTATAATTTTAAGCTCTTAAAGCAAGCTTTGACATTTTCCAGACTCTTATGAAACTAGCTATAAACAATTCGATTTTTTTATTTTTTTGCAATTACTATAAAAATAGGTGTATGTAGTTGCCAAAATTTCAAATATGGTTGAGTAACATCGGAAATAAGTATGTTGATTTTCCAGATAAAATTGATTTCTGTCGAAAGTCGAAACGAAAACTTTTCTAGGTTGCGTGTGTAATTTGCCAAAGAAAGGGAAGCTGCACATATGCATGAGATGAATTTCATAATTGGATTTAGTCCAGAAATTTGATAAAATTTGTTGAAACTATTTTTTGTAAATACCCTGTTGTGATGATGGGAGATACTAATATGTGGAAAAATGTGTGTTGTAATTTTTAATTGATCTGTGCTTTAGATTTTATTTCTCGTCACCAGATTATAGAATTAAACAACACCTATATCCATAAATTTTACAACCCCATTTCTTGTATATTTTCGCCTACAATTGTTGCCATATCGCACTTCTCAGAGACCTTATGCTGTAGACTGAGTTGTAGTCTTTGTCATAAGAAGACTGTCGGAGCTTTCTTTCATGTGGATTTTGGTTTAGTGTTAATTATGGGAATGTTATGTGATTTTTTCAACCTGAAATCTAAAATATCTTATTTATTTCAGATTGCTAGAGAATTGAGGCTGAGAGACATTGGTGGCATTATCGTGGTAGATTTTATTGATATGTTGGATGATAGTAAGTTCATAGTTTTTTCTTTCTACCTGTCTTACTCAATGTGTACCATATCTGAGTGGTCATGGAGTATTTATTTAGGTCGGTTGAAATTACCTTGAAACAACCAAGTATAGGTAGACATTTAATTTGAAACACAGTATAAAAATACATAATTGTGTTATTAACTAAATCTTTTACTTCCAGAAAATAAGAGACTGGTTTATGATGAAGTTAAAAAGGCTGTTGAGAGGGACCGATCAACTGTGAAAGTCTCTGAATTGTCTAGGCACGGGCTTATGGAAATAACAAGAAAGAGGGTATGTAACTGTTTTTGTGGATTTCTTCATCATATATGTTGGAGGTTGGCGTTGAGGTAACTTCCCTTAATTGTTTTGAGAAGCAGTTCTTACAAACTTGCCTCTTTTCATAAATTTATTTAAATTATGAATTAGAAGAATTAAAGTGTGTTTCATCCACATTAAATGAAATGTGGAGTAACTCTTATGCGATACTGGAACTCTAAGCATGTGTAACTGCACAATACCTGATGTTTCCTTATGATGCTTAACAGGTTCGACCTAGTGTAACGTTTATGATCAGTGAACCATGCACGTGCTGTCATGCTACCGGGAGAGTGGAAGCTTTAGAGACCTCATTTTCCAAGATTGAACATGAAATCTGTCGGCTGCTGGTGAGTGATTTCCTTTATGTAAGATAAAATGGTTATTGGAGCAACTTTCTTTACAAATTTTATCACTTGTATTATTAATGGATATTCCTTTTGCCTAATCTTTCTGTTGTTCATTTTGTTTGATCAGTCAATGACTGACCAGAAAGCAGATCCTGAAAACCCCAAGTCCTGGCCACGATTTATATTAAGGGTTGATCGCCATATGTGTAACTATTTAACCTCGGGAAAGAGGACAAGACTAGCAGTTTTGAGTAGTTCTCTCAAAGTCTGGATTCTTCTAAAGGTATGCAGAATTAATATAACTTCTTCTAGAATTACCATTGGCATAACATAGTGAATTGTCTAGGGATAAGTCCAAAGGTGAGTTTTAGTGCTTGTTTGATAGTGCTTATAATCTATAGGTCTTAGATATAAGTGGGTACTAGTAAGGTGTGGGTCATATGAAATGTGTGGATAAAAAATATGTTGACCAACTTAAATTATAATGAATTAATCTAGTGTGCCAGAGGGGGGTTACCTAATGGTTTACCCCCTATCACAAAAAGTGCGGCCCCCACATGTATTTAAAAATTTCGGCTTGTGGTCCCCACCCCCTAATGTGAGTGGGGTGTAAAAGATTTGGTAAAAAAATTCGGTAAGTGTAGCATAACTCAATTATAATTTAAGCCATGCCAAATATGCTTTTACCTTGGTCATTTCTACTGTAATATGGTGACCCCTTTTTATCTATTTCAACGGGTCCTAAACTGAAAAAAAAAAGCATGACTAATATCTCTGATTTGGACATTGTGCTCCATTTTTCTCTTCTTTTTCACTATCCGTGTGAATAATTCATTTTCGTGCGATCCCTGTTGCTGTACCAGGTTGCAAGAGGTTTTACAAGAGGTAGCTTTGAGCTGAAACCGTTGACAGACGACAACGTACAGAAGAACCAATGTCGGACTGCTGCTATATCCATGTTACGACCAACAGAGGTTGTAACTTACACTCCCAACAAAAAAGTAACTCTCTTTCCTATCAAAAAGTGGAAGACTAGCGGAAAATAATTGGTAAATTGCAGTTACTTATACGAGGTTAGCCAGAACTCCATGGCTGCTTAAATCTACAGTTTTCTTTAAGGGAGCTATTTTTCCTTTTGCTCCATGATGTTAACTTGCATGTAAAATTGATAGCTCTGCAATGCACTAACTCCATTTAGGCATGTGCATTAATAGTTTCATATGGATAGCGGTCCAAGTAAATGAATTTCTCAATTTCTTACCTTTCGTTTTGTTCGTTAAGCCTCTGGAACACAGTGGATTTCTCGTATTATTCCTAAATTCACCATGTTTATTTTGATTTACATCTCTCTTTTTCATTGTTGTTTATCGAGATCACTGTTCCAAAGTGCGTGAAATGCGCAAACCCACCTTTCGTTCTACTACGAGTAAGAATTAAAACACTCTACCGTAGAATCAATAGGTGTTCAATTGTTTGATCAAGTGAGAGTGATCAAACTTGGATTGAAATGTGTACGGTCTTAGGTGATATATCTTTATTTGATGCTCAAATTTCCCAAAATTGTCTGTATACAAAGCACCCTCTCCTGAGAAGTGTGGATAACGAGACCACCTTCACAATCTTCTACCTTCTGTCCCTATGTAAGGTAGGGTGGTTCGCTTGAGTTGCTCAACCGCCCCATAGATCGGGAAGCGCCTTCTAAATCACCCCATTCATCCAAAAGAGAAGGGAAGGGGCCTATTTATTTGTATGTCCTCTGCGGATTTAACCCTCTTTCCTATTTTTTATTTTTATTATTGACTATATTAATCAATCTATTCAATTTATTGCTAGATAAGCAACACCTCATCCTATATTCATAAAATTTGATGAAGGTTTTCGTTATGAGATATTGATTAATATTTTCTTCTGTTATGGCAAATATAGCCTTTGACAATCATTATTTTCGAACACCTTTTTCTGCAAGTTTATTTTTAATCTCATATTCACACAATAAAACACGTAAACTCAAAATTTTTAATACTTTTTAAATACACATTTTTCTAAAAATCACTTTTCAAAACTCTATTTTTCCAAATAATGATTGTCCAATAGGGGCATAAGAATATTTGATACATTAGACGGAATGAAATTTAGCTTAGGACTCATCTCAAGACTAGTTAACTCTACAGGCTTCTGTCCTTTGTTGGGTGGTACCACCTCTAAAACGCCCGTATTGTGAGAGAAGGGTGTTCAGAATCTTAATCAGACTAAGCGCAATGGTGAATCTAAGAAAAGAAGAGAAAGATTAAAAGACTAGAATGTTCTGTGCTGTCGCATAACCACTTCATTAACATACAACAAAATAAATAAGAGTCCAGTATGCGCACTACAATAACAAAACTAAAACTTATTCACAATAAGTTTGAGGTCGACTACATGATATTCGTCGCCGCTTGGATTGATTCACACAAGTAGCCACCGAAACTGAAAAATGCATTACAAAGACTGAAGAGTAAAGAAAACCACCGGCGAGGTTAAATTAGTGGACCTGCTTTGCACATCAAAGGGAAACGGCTAAAGAGATGCTAAAGACTACAAATAGGTCAATTGGAGCTTAGCTGTTTTTGCTTCTGCTATTGGATCTGGCTTGTGTTAGCTGCTTCACAACATCTCTCATTGAGGGTCTTTTGCTTGGCTCTCTCTCTGTACATCTCAAAGCAACTAAGAGCACATCTATTACTTGATCCATGATGCTTGAATCTATGAATTCGTCAAGCAAACTTGGATCCACTATCTTCTCGATTTCTTCAGTTCTGCTCCAGACAGATCTCACCGATCCAACAATGTCCATTTCCCCACAGAATGAAGGATCTACGGCTTTCTTTCGAGTAATCAACTCCAACACGACAACTCCATAGGCATATACATCAGACTCTTTGCTAGTCATAGTAGCAAATGCATTTTCTGTCCAAATTAACATTACACGAGATAATTTGAATAAGATATATGTGCATGTTTAGGAACCGTTGCCGCAAATTCTGCGATGAAATATTATTCAGAAAGAAACAGGAACCCGAAAAAAAGAGATTGAAAATGTTAAATACAAGATAATTACCTGGAGCTATGTACCCAATGGTGCCCCGAACTGTGCTGGATGGTGTCGATGCAACGGACTGATCCAAGAGCTTGGCTATGCCGAAATCTGAGACATGAGGCTCCAACTCTGAATCCAACAATATGTTCATCGGTTTGATGTCTCGGTGCACAATAGGAGGATCACAGTCGAAATGCAAATATGATAATCCTTGGGCAGTTCCAAGTGCTATCTTATACCGAACAGTCCACTCTAATTGCCAAGGTGGGTGTGTCTCGTGGAGAACATCATAAAGACTTCCATTTTCCATGTAACTGTATAAAATCAAACCATGGTCCTTTCTCAACCAAAAGTCTTCCAATCTAAGAAGATTTCGGTGTCTGACCTTTCCAATTGTCTGAATTTCTCGAACCATACTGGTCCTTCTGTCGTTGGTTCCAACAAACACCAGCTTCTTTACTGCATACACTTTATCAGGACCCAACACAGCCTTGTATACTGTTCCATGAGCTCCCCTCCCGATAATGAACCTATCATTTAAATTCTCTGTAGCTTCTATTACTTTATTGAGCAAAGAAGAAGCACCTTCTTTGGCAGATATTACAAATTTTTGCTCAGACCCTATGCGCCTAAAACATACATAAGCAGCTCCAAGGGCTAGAAAAACAAGCAGTGAGGATGCAAGGACTATCATTGCAATAGCTACTCTTTCTAGTCCTTTTCTATTTTTCGACTGATGATCACATAGTCTGAAACTGCTGTTCCCAAGGCAATTCAACGATACACCTGATGCAAGACAGTTGACACAAAGCCCCTGGTTGCCCTCAAATGAAGAAGGAGAGGAGTTCAAGAATTTCATCAGTTCATGTGGTATTGGACCGCTGAATGAGTTATAAGAAACATTGACTTCAAGCAATGAATGAATATTGTCAAGCGCCTCCAAAGGTCCAAACAGACTGTTGCAACATATATCTAGCTCCTCTATCATATTTAATTTCCCAAACTCTGAAGGAATGGGTCCTGACAATCTGTTATCTCTAAGGTTTAACGATCTGAGGCTCTGTGCTGTTCCTACTGATAGACGGAATGAAGGAATATCCCCAGCAAACATATTTCCACCGAGGTGCAGAGTTGACAGCTTTTCAAATTCAAACAAAAAGGGTGGAATACCACCTGTGAAACTGTTCTCGCTTAGATCCAAAACGGATATTTCCATCAAGCTTCTAAATGTGGTCGGAATAGAGCCGTTCAACAAATTGTGACTCACATCAAGTTCTGACAGTTTATGACAGGTTGATAGCTGAGATGGTAGTATGCCTTCTAAACCATTGTGGGACAGATTTAAAGTCTCAAGATTCGAAAGAATCTGTAGTTCCACTGGTATATGGCCTGTGAACTTATTGAGAGAGAAATCTATAGAGGTACAGTTGGCAAGGTTTCCTATGCTTGAAGGTATTGATCCATTTAAACTATTTTTGCTAAGGTCAACGAACAGAAGGTCTGAATTTTTTGCGAACTCTGGAAGTGCACCTGTTAGATTATTCTGTTTGAGAATCAATCTTGTCAATTTAGAACAACTTCCTAGGTCAGAAGGAATACTTCCTCGAAAATGATTTTGGCCCAAGATGAGCTTCCTTAATTGGTTTCCGAAGCAAAGATTTGGTGGAATAGAGCCGGTGAACATGTTTCTGGTGAAGTCCACTTGAGTTAAACTACTGTTTATTCCCAAACCTTGAGGTATGATTCCTGTAAATTGATTGTCAAATAGGGAAATATTTCTTAAGTTCTTTAGCTTAGTGATTTCTTGAGGTATCTCCCCAGAAAGATTGTTTTCGTACACAAGAATGTTCTGAAGGCTTTGAATCTTCCAAATACTAACTGGAATTTCACCTGTCAAATGGTTGGTAAAAAGATGTAGGTCCTGCAACTCACTGAGCATCCCTAGTTCACTGGGGATCTCACCTTCCAAATGGTTTCCATATAGCTCCAAATCAGTCAAAGATTTGCACTTGCCCAGTTCGGGTGGTATTATACCCGACAATTGATTCTCGGACAGGTAAAGTCTTGTCATTTTAGTAAGTCGGCCTAAAGAAGAAGGGATTGAACCACTTAATCCACAGTTAACAGCAGCAAGGATGGCTAAATTACTACAATTGCCCAACCCGGATGGAATACCACCACTGAATCTGTTTGACGACAAAGCCAAAGTGTTCATTTCCTTGCAACTACCTGAACCCAATGGAATCCGGCCCTCCAAGCTGTTGTAACTCACATCTAAGTACGAAAGCTGCTCGAGATTATTCATACTCGGAGGCAAAGGCCCGATCAACTCATTATAAGTCAAAACAAGTTCTTGCAAGGTACTGCAGTTTCCTATGGAGGAAGGGATAGTCCCCGATAATTGATTACTATACAAGTAAAGTTTTACAAGATTGCTAGAGTTTCCAACACTCGATGGGATTGAACCGCTAAGCATGTTGGTACTGAGGTGAATGAAACTCAAAAAAGGAATCTGGAACAAGGATTCTGGAATTACGCTAGTTAGAGAGTTTTCGAACAAGCCTAAATACTGTAATTTTCGCAAATTTCCAAGACTTTCTGGGATTTTCCCTGTGAAGTTATTGGTCGAGAGATCCAAATATTTAAGAAGACTACAATTTCCTATGTTTGAAGGAATCGGACCGGAAAAGTTGTTGAAGCTGAAGTTCAGTAATTTCAAGTGCTTTAGAAATGCAATCTCAGGTCCCAACTGGCCCGAGATTCCTAAGCTAATCAAGTTTAAATCAGTCACGAAGTTATGTCGGTCACATTGTACTCCAAACCATGAACAAGGAGTGGAATCTGATACATTCCAGCTCAGTTTCACGGGAGGAGGTACAACAGTCCAATGCCTAGCCAGGGCCAACAGAGTTGTACCATCACGACTCAAAGCTGATACGCCATGGATTGATGTACAGAAGCATAAAATCAGCACCAAAAAATTCAAACCCTTTTCCATATTAGGAGTCATTTCTTCAACAAGTTTAGTAACAAGCATACCCACATTGTTCCGATGGAGAGAAGAACCTATGGTTATAAGTATCAGAAAATTTCCAAGCAAACAATTTCGACTTTCAACAAGAAGTTACACAAAAGCTGAGAGGGACAGAACACCACAAGGTATGCAGAATTCCTGTAAAATCAACATTTCACTTCACACGGAACTAAAAATATCAAGTTAACATGCACATTATCAACAAAATTCACCACTTCAAGAGTACATAAATTTCATACCCAAAAAAAAAAGAGCTAACTTCAGCTGAAAAAAATTTAAGGAATAGAACACCAAAAGGGCTCACTTGAATTTCCAACGAAATTCAACTTCGAAATGGAAAATTAAGCTAAAAACGAAGATCCCTCTATGAAATATCATTAAAAAAAATGAATTGCGGAAGAAACATACCCAGATTCGGAATTCGCAGGAGAAGGTAAGTC